ATGTAGAGGTGTGCTCTAACAGCATTAAAAAGCGGAATTATAATTTATTTTCTTTCGAAAAACTAATTTATTTTAAAACTATGTCACCTAACTAGAATTACCACATTTAGTTAACTAGAACATTTCCGCTTGACGTTGATAAGTATAATAGATTACAATCATAGATAAAGTATGGTTGGCGTAATAGCTTAGATTTATTCAAGATAGTCTATTTCTTATCGAAGAGAACGATTTTCTAGCATCCAAGTAAAGCTTTTGAATTGCAGGTGGCAAGTATGTGTTTAAGGATATGCTGCCAGGACCCTATGAACTGACCATTCCCCAGGGCAATCTCTGCTACGAGTCCACTCGAGTGTTTCTAAACGTTGCTACCGCCGAAGAAGATGCGCCGCCATTTGTGCACAAGGGCTACGAGGTGTCCATCATCTCCAGCCATCGGGCATTGGTAAGTGCTATAATAGAAATTACTTGGAATGCCGTTTGCTCAATTGCTTTCTACCACTCTCCTTTCAGATGAAATACACGCACGTCACTGGACCCTCTGAGCCAAAGGCGCCCACTGAAACCCTGAAGATTGCCTCAGGAGTGAACACCTTCTGTGTGAACAAGTACGGAAGCTACGACTTCAAGCTGGAGGGCTGCCACACGTATGACAGCTCGCTACCCAGCAAATTCATCACTCCCGAGCCAGACCAGTTGCAAACCCTGATTATCAACGCAGTGGCCCACAAGACTGGCGTTCGCGTTCTGTCCACAGAACCCACCGCTGACTCCATTAAGCTTGTGCTCGAAACGGAGTCGGTCCAGGAGGTTATCACACCCACTGCTGAATCTCACAAAGTGGACGGCAAGTTCGCATACCGTTATGACACGTACTTGAAGCCCGAACAGGTTCTCCGCGTTACACCGCTGAGCGATGTCCTCCTGTTTGCGCCTCAACAACAGGAGATTGTCGGAAGCAGCGATTGCGTGGATATTGCCTTCAACTTTGTGGCCACTAGGGGCTTAATTCTGCGTGGAAAGGTGGTTCCTGCCATTAAGGATGCCAAGATTACACTGTCCTTCCCAGATCAGCCGGAATTGCAGAGCCTGGAAGTTCTCACCTCAGTCACTGGAGAATTCAAGTTTGGTCCGATTGAAGAGTCTCTGGCCTTTGACCTCACAGCCGAAAAGGAGTCGTATGTGTTTAGCGACTATAACCGACAGTCGGCTTCGTTCAGTGCCCACAAACTGTGCGAGATTTCCGTGATTGTGAAGGACGAGGCCGGTCAGACGTTGGGCGGAGTCCTCCTTTCGCTGAGCGGCGGTGAGAGCTACCGCAAGAACCTGGTTACCGGCGACAATGGAGCCATTAACTTCCATTCGCTGTCGCCATCGCAATATTACCTGCGACCCATGATGAAGGAGTACAAATTCGAGCCCAACTCCAAGATGATTGAGATTAAGGATGGCGAGACGGTTAGCGTTACCCTCACGTAAGTGATATTACTGGTTATTCAGCATATCTTATTTATCTCCTTATTTTGACAGTGGCAAACGCTTCGCTTATTCCATCTTTGGAGCAGTGTCTTCATTGAACGGCGATCCCTTTGCCGGCGTGAATGTTCAGGCCACCGCCGAGGAGGGCTGTGCCCAGCAGCAAGAGGAGGCTACCAGCGAGGCGAACGGACAGTACCGCATCCGCGGCTTGCAGCCCGGATGCAGTTACTCCGTTCGTGTGCTGCCCGACAAGGAGAGCGTAGAGCGATCCATTCCCGCCCAGCACTCGGTGCAGGTGGGCAGCGATGATGTGCGTGACATAAACCTGGTGGCCATAAGCCCCCTGAAGATTGTGGACATCACCGCCAGGGTGACGGCCACACTCAACGAACACTACAAGACCCTTCGCATTGTGATGTACCGCAAGGGAAACTCCGATTCCCCGGTATTCTCGCAGCGTGTGGGCACTCCGGTGAATCCTAAGGCCAGACTGAATCCGGGCATCACTGTCTTCTTCCCGCGCATTCCGCTGGACGGCAAGAGCTACGTGGTAGAGCTGCAGTCCACTCTGTCCGATAAAACATACACCTACAAGCTGCCATCGTCTACGTTTGTGGCTGACCGGGGTTCCGTGTTCATCCAGCTGGAATTCAAGCCGGAGGTGCGCGCCGCTGAAGCGGATCTCAACCAGAACTCCATCTCGGCCCTGGTGCTGATCGCGCTGGTGGCCATCGCCTTCTTCAAGCAGGATCTGGCCACCAGTTTCCTCAGCTTTGTGTGGAGCAAGCTGAACGACGTGGCCGCCGATCTCGCCCAGCGACAGAAGAGCAAGACGCAGGTGCGCAAGAATGAGCCGATCAATCAGCGCGAGATCGAACAGATGGCCGACCAGATCAATGCCATTAAAAAGAAAAAGACCAAGAAGATTTAGTCCCGACTGATAGTCGCATTAGTTGATCAATTTAGTCACATTTCGAGGTATTCGCGGTAGGTATTCATCCGGTTTTGTTTTTCTGTGAGATTTTGTTTAACCCTGTTGTAACTTAAACCTTTATTTTGAATTGCATCTAAGAAGACTTTGTAATTTTTCATTTTCCATACATAGATTGAGGCAAGTTTATTTTGTGTTCGTTATTCACTCTTATAGCTAAAATAAATAAATACAATTAAATAGATTAATTCTACTGCGTAAGAATGTGCTCGGCAACGGAGCTGAGTTTGCGATTCTTGTGCTTGGCATGTCGCCTTTCTGCTTGGAGGTTGATCTCGTTCTGGGAATCCTCGACTGCGGCCTCCTCGGTGGCTGCCTGCTCCTCTTCCTGCTGCTGCTCCTCTGGGTTCTCCTCGGCGATCTCGTTCTCCACGAAGATGCACTCAGGATTGACGGCGGCACACTCGCCAAAGTTGGTGGCCCTGGCCTGAGGGTTCCTAGCATTGGTGTACTTCTCGAAGAATCCCCGACCCACAATGCGGAAGGCCATGCTGGTCATGGGGTTCAGCTTGGAACGGAACTCCATTTCGCAGACGAAGCGACGACGACACGCCTTGGAGTCCAGACCCAAGAAGGCAAACATGAAGTCGGCAATCCTGGGGAGAAATCCAAACAATGTTATGCCATACAGTGAATAACTACATCCCCTTTCACTTACTGCTCTTCAGCGGGCATTTGGCGAGCCACACTCTCTGAAATCTCCTCATCCACAATTTCCACGTGCTCCTCCTCCTGCTGCTCCTCGTCCTGGATCAAATGGGCCTGATCTTCAGCACTACGCCTGCCGCGACGACGGGTATCCACGGGACCAGTTGGGCCACTCGGACCAGCGGGGCCCGAGGGAGATTCGCTGTGGTAGTCGCTGTGCACATCGGAGACAATGTCCGATCCAGCGTAGCTGCTATAACCGGAGTAGGGCTCGAAGCTGGCGCTGGAGTCATAGGAAGTGGGGGAGTCGTAGTGCTCCGAGTGATCGTGATCCAGGGAGTAGGGAATGTGGTCGTGGTGGGAGAAGGACGACGGACTAAACGGGGAAATATAAATGTTAATCACCAGTCAAATATCATAATAGAAGGCACCACTCACGGATGATCCAGAATGATCTCCTGGTTGCACCTGGCATGGGGCCAGAAATAGCGCAGTCCCAGGTAAATGGCGCTGCCCACGAAGAAGGAAACTATCACCACTTTCACCTTGATCCAGTAAGCGATGGCAATGGGCCACAGGTGGCGATCTGTTATAGAAGATATATAAACATCGAGAAGGTTAAATAATTTTCCATTGCATCAGACCTGAGAAACTTTCACTGCTCGAAATTCTACTTTTTAAGGAGGGTTTCACGAAAATGTATTAAACAATATCGATGGCCAAGATTGAAAGTGAAAAGTGTTAATTGAGCGCGATACGTGATCGTCCAATTTGGATGAGGTGCGTCTGGCTTGGTTCAAATCTAAGGGGGAAACTTTCCAAAGAAAGTGGGATGGTTCACGCCCGAAAGATATGATTATACTGATTCCAAACGATCAAAATAATGGTAATACTTGCTCGCTAATTGTTATATAAATTAGGTTCTATTGATAACATCTGGAGATTGTGAGGATACAGTCGTAAGTTTCTGAGTGATTACTATTTCGTAACGTTGGTGGAAAAGTCTCCCTTAAATTTTAAAGATTTTTTCTGAATTAATTGATTTTAATGAAAAAATAGAATTATTTAATATTATTTTTGTTTCAGTTCGTTCAATTTTAAAATAATTTAAACTTTTTCAACTAACTAATATTGCGCCTAAGATGCTATTCTTGTACATTTTTCGACTTTACTTACACCAGAACATGTGGTGGCGATGGCGACGAGTGCGTCCCTCGAACTCCATCAGCTCCCGGCCAAGATTCTCCCAGGTGTCCTCCGCTTGGTTATCCACTTCCGCCGGTGGCTCATCGATCTTCGTCTCCTCGCAAAATACCAGGGTGAAGTAGACGACCAAGAGCACGGCTCCGTACCAAATGGTGTTCTTGTGCATGGTTGTAGATGATTTTATAGATTTCTGGCGTCGCGACGATTGAAAGCTGCTATCCCTTTGGCTTGGCTGGTCACTGCAGAACCGAATGATGCAGCTCGAAGCCAGGTCTCCAGCTTTTATACCACCGGCCATCGGCGGACCGCTCCAAGTTCAGAGTGATAATTAAAACGCTGTTGTTGTGACTTTGCGCGCAGATTTTCACACATGCGTAGAGCCGGCGGATGACGAGTTTAATGCCCAAGACATGCATTTGAAATTTCTTTAAACTAGTGCAATTTCACTTTCATAAGTCGTGCCGGCGTTTCTAGCCACTTTTGTTTCCAATTCAATTAGTGGTTATTACGAAACAAAAGCCTAAATTTTAGGTAATTGTCGGTTGGCGATTTGCCCAGAACAGATTTCAAAAGTTATGTAAAAGCGCGCCAAATTCGATGAACCCAGAAGTTCTAAGGGGTAATCGAAAGGGCAGGCTGTTATCGTCTAAGAACTTCCATCTCTAATGCAATATTGTAAACATTAAATTAATGCCGGTTTTCTGAATTATGTCCAGTCTAAAGTCAAATGAAATGGACACCAATCCGGCTCCGGATCCCCAGGCGCCGATCACCCGCAAAGGCTTCCTCATTTCGCTCAACAGCGGCACACCCATGCCCATTCCCGAGCAGAATCTGGTAAACTGTCCCCATTCTAAGTAATCCCCTCCAGACTTTTTGATAAATGCGAATCTTTTAGTTTGGCCGCTGCCGTCCCGTCTCCGAATTCGAGAAACTGAATCGCGTGGGCGAAGGGAGCTACGGAATTGTCTGTAAGTTTGGATCTAGACTCTAGATTGAAGAGAAATTTAACCGTCTTATTTCATCGCCAATCCTCTGCAGATCGCGCACGTGACACCCGCAGCAATGAGATCGTGGCCTTGAAGAAGGTCCGCATGGACCAGGAGAAGGACGGCCTGCCCGTCAGTGGACTGCGCGAGATCATGATCCTGAAGCAGTGCCACCATGAGAACATAGTCCGCCTGCGAGAGGTGGTCGTGGGTAAGAGCCTGGACAGCATCTTCCTGGTGATGGATTTCTGTGAGCAGGACCTGGCGTCCGTGCTGGACAACATGTCGCAGCCCTTCACCGAGTCCGAGGTCAAGTGCATCACGCTTCAGGTCCTGAAGGCATTGAAGTACCTCCATGCTCGGCACATGATCCACAGGGATCTGAAGGTTTCCAATCTCCTGATGACCGACAAGGGATGCATCAAAGTTGGTGAGTAGTGCGATCAATTGGATGCCACTTATGGGCTAACCCCGTTGCAATCCCCAGCTGATTTTGGCCTGGCCCGTATGTTCAGCAATCCCCCGAAGCCCATGACCCCGCAGATGGTTACTTTGTGGTACCGAGCACCGGAACTCCTCCTGGGCTGCCGGACACACACTACGGCGGTGGACATGTGGGCATTTGGCTGCATTCTGGGGGAACTGCTGCTCGGAAAACCGCTGCTGCCGGGCAATTCGGAGATCGCGCAGCTGGACATGATTATCGATCTCTTGGGCGCCCCGTCGGAGTCCATTTGGCCTGGCTTTGCCGATCTGCCCGCTGTGCAGAACTTCACCCTGAGCCAGCAGCCGTACAATAATCTCAAAACCAAGTTCCACATGATTGGCCAGTCGGGCAGGAATCTCCTGAACATTTTGTTCATCTACAACCCAAATACCAGAGCCACGGCCGAGGAGTGCTTGAATAGCAAGTACTTTGTGGATCCGCCGATGGGTGAGTGTGGTTTCTGCGTAAGTGGACAAATGCTTATCCCCACTAATTTACACTTTCAGCCTGCGACCCCCGCATGATGCCCACTTTCCCGCAGCACCGGAACAATGCTGCAGCTGCTCCACCTGCCCAGCCGCCCGCCGACATTCCCATTTCCGATCTGCTCAATGTATTCATCAAGCGCCAACGCATGGATTAAACGAGAACGAATTTATTTGAACATTATGCAATGCACTGGGTGGAAAGCTACAGGAACGGCCGGTCCATCGGCGTGCGCTTGGCCTTCCTGTCGCGGGCGCGCGGAAACCAGCGGTGCTTGGTCGTGTGGGTCAGCTGCATCAGCTCCTGGCGCGCCACCTCCGGATGCTTGCCCTTGAAGGCCTGCATCGCCGTCTTCAGAGCCGATTCCTTGACCACCGACGAGCTCTGAATCTCCGCGATCTTTGGCAGCGGCTGTGTGTGCTCGTACGGATGGGGCGTGTCCGGATGCCAGGCCACTATGGTGCGGCCACTCTTGGTCACCGCCACGGCCTCCACCAGGCTCTTGCCACCGACGGCATTGCGCTGCACGGCGCTCGAGGAAAATAAACGAAAACCTCCGTATAAACGTGCCGCTGACATTTTTACAGCTAGGGATGGCACAAACGCACCGATAACTGAGCAGCTGGAGGCCTATCGGATAAACTGAACGGTAGTGGTGCCTTTTTGGCGTGATGTAATTATATTTGAATGGCTTGAAGTAGCTACTAGCTAGAAACCTTAACGTTTTCATCAGAGTAATTGAATAGTAATCTGAATTGTCGAAAATTCATTGAAACATTTCGGAAACTAATTAATTAATAACTGGCATATATTTGTATTTATTTTATTTTTGATTTTTACAACAAATAGTGCGTACTGTGGTACATTCGAAGAGTAACCTAAATTAAATAATTCAGCAATTCATAAGAATATGCTAATTAGGACCGTTTTCTCGTCCGATTGTTAAATTTAAAGTGGGGTTAAAACAATAATTTCCCGTACGATTTCAAGGGTTTAACCCTACTTTAAATTTAACTAACGGAAAAGAAAACGGCCCTAAGGGCCCGATTTCAAAGTTTTAACCCTACTTTAAATTTAACAGGCGGACGAGAAAACGGACCTTATGGCCCATACGATTTAGGGCCGTTTTCTCGTCCGCTTGTTAAATTTAAAGTAGGGTTAAAACCTTGAAATCGTATGGGAAATCAGAGTTTTAACTTTACTTAAAATTTACCAGGCGGACGAGAAAACGGCCCTTAAAGGTTTTAACCCTACTTTAAATTCAACAAACGGACGAGTCAATGGCCCTAAGATTGCTAAATGGCTATTTTACATGTAAATATACACTTAACATTTGCTTCCGATACCTCCAGATTCGGCATCACTGACTGCTTTCCACTACGGTTGAGTACTCGATACCAGGCGCGCTTACTCACCCCCTCTGACAGCTGATTGGCATTTGAAAACAAATATTCCGGCCGAGATGTGGATTGCCTACGCCCTGGTGGTCCACGTACTGCTCCTGGGCTCCATATTCGTGATCTACTTCCGTTCGCCGGTCATCACCGGCCTAACTCCGCAGAAGCGTCCGCTGTCCTACGGATTGGAGGCGCCGGCGAATCGTTTGGTGCTGATCGTGACCGATGGATTCCGAGCGGACTCCTTTTTCGAGGAGAACTGCCGCTATGTGCCGCACCTGCGGGATATTTTCGTGCGCGAGGGCGTGGTGGGAGTGTCCCGCACTCGGGTGCCCACGGAAACCAGACCGGGACACATCACCCTGATCGCAGGGCTCTACGAGGATCCCTCGGCCGTGCTGCGTGGCTGGAAGAAGAACCCCATCGACTTCGACACGCTGTTCAACCGGAGCTCACAGACCTACGCTTGGGGTGCCGAAGATGTTATCAGCGTGTTCTCCCACCTGTCCAACGGCGGGAAAATGCATTTCCGCTCCTACGACCACGAACTGGACTTTTCGCCGGGCTACGATGCCTATGAGCAGGACGAGTGGGTGTTCAAGCGGGTGAGGTTTCTGCTCCAGCGCAAGAGTGAGGCCCTGCAGCAGGCCAAGAATGTGGTCTTCTTCCTGCACCTCCTGGGACTGGACACGGCTGGGCATGTCCACAAGCCGGGGGCGCCCAAGTTTCGCCAGACTGTGGACAAGACGGAAAAGGGAGTCTACAATATCTACCAGGAGTTCGAGCGAGTGTTTCCCGATAAGCGGACTGCCTACTTGATGACCGCTGATCACGGAATGACTGACTCGGGTACGCAGTCATATTATAGATCGACATACAACTAATTTAATGGTGTATCTTCTTCCAGGAGCTCACGGCGCTGGTTCCCCCCATGAAACGGACACGCCCTTTGTTCTCTGGGGCGCCGGAGTTGCCCGCTCGGCTCCCAATCCTGGAGGCAAGACCTTTATGCCCGACAATGAAGGTCCTGCAATGCCGTTGCACGAACTGGAGCAAGCGCAGCTCACACCGCTGATGTCCGCCCTGGTTGGTCTCCCGCCGCCAATGAATAACTTTGGAACGTTGCCCGTGGGCTACATGAATGTCAGCAAGGAGTACGAGGCCGTGGCAGCCCACTTAAACGCCCTTCAGCTTTTGGAGCAGTATGCTGTACTGCAGGAGCAGCACAAGAAAGGTTTTTTCGCGGATTTCCTATCCGATTTTGATGTTCTCCCATCGAGTGCGGTGAAGAACTACGAAGAAGGAATCTTAAAGCTGCACAAGAACAGAGAGTATTCGCATTCCTTGGCCAAGAGTCAAGTTATTATGTCGCAAGCTCTAGAAGGAATCGATTATTATCATGGATACTATCGCAGAGCGCTTTTAATGAGCACCACTTCTACATTCCTCGGATGGATATTCTATCTGTACCGCCTGCTATCCAGAAACAGGGCTGGCACAGTGGAGCTGATCCTCGAGAGAAGTACAAAGTGGGTGAGACTTAGCTTGGCAAGCTATATGGTCCTGCTGGTCATCTGCCTGCTTAGCCAACGAACACCGCTAGATATCTGCTTTTACCTGCTGCTTCCGAACTTCGTCTGGCTGAAGGCTTTGCAGCCTTGGAACCTCAACTTCTCCTCCTCGCCATCATCGGCGTACAGTGTGCCCGCCTTGCAAACCACAATGGGGCAGCTTGTATTAATAATTGGTTGCGCGGAGCTAATGGTCTTCACGTTCTTCGAGCGCCGCCTGATCTCGGTCGGTTTTTTCGCCTTCGCCTGCTATAATGGTTGGGGCAGCTTTCAACCGAAGTCCAGAGATTTCTTCTCCTGGCTGGCCCTGGTCCTGATCCTGGCTTGCTTTCCCCTGCTGCCGTTGTCAGTGGGCTATCAGAATGGATACCTGCTTTTGGCTGGAGTCATAACGATCCTTATCAACTCACTTTGGAGTACGAGGGCGAGATTAAGCTACAAGAATCACACTAAGTACTGCAATGCTCTGATCCTGCTGCTCACCATAGTGTGTGCTTATCTTCACTCAATCGGTAGAAAGACTCCCATTCCCTTGAAGCTGGCTAGCTGGATGTTCCTGGTGTACGCCTTTGCGTCCATTGTGCTGAGCAAGGAACCCCGACTGGAGCAGCGTCTGGCCCAGATTGGCTTTAATCTGGGGTCCCTTTACGCAACACTATGCACCTCCTATGAAGCTGTGTTTGTCCAGTTGCTGGCCATAGAGCTGGGTATCTCCCTGAGGGCCCAGAATGCGCAGGCTGAGAGGTCGGTGCTTCGACTGGCCTTCACACTGCTTCTGTACACTTTCTTCTCGCTTTTCGGATCCGGCAACATAGCCTCGATCAGCTCGTTTGATCCCAACATAGCTCGTTGCTACCTCAGCCACTTTGCTCCGTTCGTGATCATGGGTCTCGTGCTGCTGAAGCTCCTCGTGCCAGTGGTCCTGATCATGTCGGTGGTCTATGCCCAGAGCGAGTTTGTCCGCCAGCACGAGGAGCAGATCTTCATATGCCTGCTGCTCATCTGCGATGTGATGGGTCTCAACTTCTTGTTCCTGGTGCGCAACCAGGGCTCCTGGCTGGACATCGGCACGTCCATCTCACACTTTGTCATCATGGAGGTGACCACACTGGTGATCCTCCTGCTTTTCTATACCGCGAAACAGCTGCTGCGAGTTATCCCACCGGAGGAAATACAAGTCAAGAAACTGCTGCTGCGTTTAGTACATTGGGATGCGATCAGCGCCAAGCACCACTAGCCTTCAAAGCGATTTAACCAACTTTTAGCTTAGCTTAAACATTTATGTCCGATAATATTTACAACACTAATTAAGAATTAGTAACATACACATGTAAATTATAGAATCTAATGCTAGGAATGTGTGTCTGTGTGTAGGTGAGCGTCAGGGTGGATCGATTTTAAGGACAACAAATACTCGGCTTAGATATTATAACTATCTTAAAACCAAAGAACAGGCAGAATTTGTGGACAAATGATTTAACAAAAATAAGTGTAATAATCTAATATGTGACTTAGAAATTTGTAAGAAATTCCAGTATTGTTGCATTTTAAAATTTGTCTTGTGTTAGCTATTCGATTAAGTCACTTGTACCATTTTGTATATAATTAAAATGAAACTAAAATCTTAAAAATCAGTTTCTTGTTTAACACATAAATTGGGAAAAATTATAAATAAAGGTTTGTCGTATTATTGTTTTAATAAGGATCTTCAAAGACTCCAAATAGAAATTATATTTCTTCAAAAAAAAAAAAAACTTGAAAAATGTCTACATTTTTAGAGTTTACCCAAAAAATCGACCCACCCTGTTGTGGATGGGCTGTGTGAAGGATGTGTTTTCGTGTGGTTTTATGTGTGTCATGGCACGACGACATCTAATGAGTAGTAGTAGCAGCAGCACGTCTAGGAAATCGCGATTCCCAATTAATCTTTCAGATATCGCTCCACCGGATTGACCCCCTGGAATTTTGGACTGGCCGTTTCATCTGGAATTCGTCTTAAATCAGTATTGCATCTAGCTATTTTCATTAGGCATAACTCACTTGACTGTGCCGGCTTGGCTGTGGTGGCACTTTCCCGCGGAGTTGCTTGCAGGCAGTTCAACCACTCAGCTAGCGAGATCTTCTTGTCCCCATTGACGTCGCAGTAGCGCGGCATCTTTTTCCCACATCTGCGCAGGTTGCTGTTTGTTGGGATAATATTTAGGGATTGCCAATACGAATGGGCTACGATGTGGTGACTCACCTGGCACTGGTGACCAGATCGCGGAAGTTCTTCCACTCTCGGCGATCCCACGACTTATTTTTGTTCTTGTCCAGATACACGAAGCTCAGCGTGGCGATCCGCTCATCATCCGTCTTCCACATGGTGGAATTGCTGCTGGAAAATGAAGTCATTTACAATTTATAAGTTTAAAGGGAATTAAACAAGAACTTCTAGATTGATAACCTTTGTAGGTATATCAAATTTATTTTGGGAACTATCTTTCAAATTATTCGCGGTAAATAATATTTAAATAAAAAATAAATAAAAAAAAAACACAAAATTAAAAATAATAATATTAGTAATTAAGTCACTACGAAAAATTGATGTTTGTTATTAATAATACATAAGAACGTGAGAAAAATTGCTTAAATTATTTAAAAATAATAATAATTTTATAACATGAACTCAATGTGACTAGCGCGATAATTATAAGTGTGCACTTGTAGCGCTGGGATATTAAGTAAATAAATTAAAAAATTAAAAAATAATTAAATATATACGTCTTAGAACTCCTTCGTAAATAGGCGACCGTTTTATCTTAAGTAAATTGTTTTATGGAACAGAAGTCCAATAAATGTTGTTAAATTTACTTCGAATGTAATATATTTATAAATAGGCATTTAACCTACCCGGTGGTGCTGCTGGGCAGAAGTGAAGTGTTGAGATAGGCCTTTAACTCTTTCAGGAACTGCGTCTTCCGCGGCTCAGTGCATCCCTTCATGGGTCGCACCACTACATTCTCGTCGCACTGAGGCCGCTTGTTTTTCACCGATGTGCCCGGGATGCTCTTGCCCGTGTCCTCGTTGACGCACCAGCAGTACGAGGTGGACGTGGAGGAGTAGCACTGAATGCGCTGATAGCGACCATCCGGCAGGCACTGTGGCACAAATAGTACGTTCTTTCCGCCGTGCTGTGGAGCAATTGGCGAAAATAGTTAGAAAGGGCGTTCCTTAAAAAGGAAAATAACTTACGCCCTGCTCCTCCAGAGTCACCGACTGATCCATCCAGCAATTGGAGTCATTCTCTATGTCCTGGCTCGCCGCCTCCGGCTTAGAGTTGAGCACTGAAATTATGTATTTGTAATGTATTTTTCATTTTGAAAGCATGCAGAATGATAGTGACTACATTAGGGAAACGATATGCAAAAAATTCTGAAACGCTCATTTATGAAGTTTAGATTTCTAAGAGACCGAGATTAAAATGTGTTCTAAAAATTTTAAAGATCGATTAATCTTTTCAATTAATTTCGATAATTATTAAATCCGTCCCCGTAGTGCTTTTAGAATTTGGTTAAATATCACACAATTCTACGTACTATATAATGATGGGATGTGGGTTCGCGAGCTTGGCAGATCAGATCCTTGAGAATCGTCCTCTTCTCCTCCGTATCCCGTCCCGCTGTCCTCGTAGTTGTCCTCGTGTTCTTCACTGCCACTCACATCCTCCGAATACGTGTGTGGGCTGCCTCCACTCACTATGGTGTTGGTATGACCTCGGTGGTGGCTATTGACGTTCGTGTTGTGGATACTATAGTGGGTGGAGTGAGGTGGAGCGGTGGCTGCACTGCTTGCCAGAAGATTAACGACAGCACTACCTGGATTTAGGTGACACACAGATGGGATATTGATATGGGCTTTTCAAAGACATACTGACAAAGTTAGTATTTATTCTAATTTAAGCCTTATGAAATGGTTTTTTAGATGTTTATGACCTTTGACCTATTATAACTGACCTTAATTGAATTAAAAGTATTAAAATAACTATTAAGGGCCGTTCCCAAATGGAATATGAAGGGAATGAATTTTTCTATAACAACATTTTTAGAATTGCTGTTAATGATATTGATATTCAATTATTATTACTACAAATTCGTGTTAATGTATTGAAATCATTGAGTTCTTGTTATCCCCGTTCTATATAGTCAAGTTTTACTCACGGTTATGAAACTCTTTGGTGAAGCAGATGCTCCACTCCAACCAATTCAGGTTCCCATCCTTGATGACATCACAGTATTTGCCAAAGGTCCGTCCACATCGACGGGGTTTAACGTTCTAAACGAAACAGATGGAGATTAAATACGGATCATCCGGAATAATGCAAACCAATTACTCACCCTCCTTAGAACCTTCTTCAGCTCTCTAACCTCTTGACGGTCGAGCAGCTTGTTGCCATTCGTATCCAACTTGGAGAACTTCCACTCCAGGATGTGGGAGTCCGACAGAGATGGCTGGCGGAAGAAGCTCTGAGCCTCGTTTCGGAACATACGCATCAGGTTAGTGTTGAACAGCAAGCGATCGGATTTGCTGCAGGGTCTGTGGGCCGTTGACCCTGCCTCCGAACTTCCCTTGGAGGCGGCCGAGGTATCCGGATTATAGCCAATCTGATGCGATGCCAGACGGCGACGGTCGCGTCGATTGGCCCTGCAGCGGAGTTTTCCCTTTCGCCGGAACTGCTTGGTGTCATCCTCGATGGGCCTTCCCTGACTATCGCTGCACCAGCATCCGTTGTTCCCGTAGCACTGCATGGCCGCAAAGTTTCCATCCTTCCGGCACCTGGGCACAAAGTATCCCGGATCACGTTCCTGCTGACGGCGAGCGAATTTCACCGCCTCCAAACAGGCTAAAATGTTAAAAAGGGTTATTTAAAAAATACGTAGATATAATGAAAAATATGTTAATTTCGGATCCATTTAAATATATTTCCTTATGTATCTTACAATGGCATGTTAACAACTTCTTTCAATGGTATCGTGCAAATCGGAGACTAATTCAAAACAAACTTTCGATTGTATAAAAAACATATATTTAGAATAAAAATAACATTATAATTATCACTTTATATGAACTGGAGACCCTTGAAAACCAAAAGAAATCTCCGAGTGTCTGTTACCTAAATATAATATCTTTTCCAGATTATATGAACCTAAGATCTATTCGATAAGGAAGTGATCAAATATCTATAGAGCTATTTAGGGATACTTCTGATCGAGCTAAAGGAGATGGTATTATCATACTTACCATTGCAGGAGCCGCTGTACTTGAGGCTCACCTGGTGACCGCCGCACTGCGCCCGCAGCAGGTGACACCTGGTGGGATAGGTTTCGCCATCGGTGCCGCAGACGGGACCCTCGTTATCATCGCACTCGCCCTGTTTGGCTGCGCAGGCGGGGAGCTTCATCTGCAGGTAAAGATCAGATGGAGGAGGAGGAGGTGTCAGTCTCGGCTTTATAGTAGCTCCATGGAGGGTGGGGTGCTCGCACCGCTCCCCCTTTGGCAAACACGCGTAAAATGATTTACTGCATTTATGGCCAGGTCCGCGAGTCGCCAAGCGTCTGTGCTTTTGCCGCTGACTGGAATACGAATGTTGGCAACGTCTGACAGGGGCGGCGATTAGTGGAGGACGGGGATAAAAAGGGGGTTTGGGGGTGGGCAGCATACCGCTGCCCGGCACCCTGTACCCGGCTAATGTGAAAATCAAAGTTGTCAGGCCCATAACTCGAACGCCCCGAAATCCGCACCAAAAAATTATGGCAGCCTGCTACTCTCGACCAACTTGCTGCTGAGTGCGCAAATTCTTGTTTAGCCCACAAAATCGCACATACGCGTGTATGTAAATCGCAGATATCTGTATCTACATGCCTGTATCTATCTATATATATAGATGGGGAGGCCCAGCACTTTGGGATTTGCTGTTGCAGCGCCTTTTGTCGCCAATTTGCTGCGGCCAGCCCACAGATATTTATTTGTCGTGTCACTCGGACATTAATTAGTTTTCGCTGTTATTGAAAAGTGAAATGCGTCAAGCCATCTAAATATCCCATAACTGAAACATGTTTCGGATAAGATATGAGCATACTAATCGAGGTGCTCGTTGTAGTTAAAGTATGTGAGCTTAAGAGTCCAACGTTTTTTGCCATTTTCGGATAGTTTCGCAAATGCGTTTTTTTAAGAGTTTTTCAAGCTTCAAATAAGATATATTTTATAGCAC